GGATATCCATTTGGCTGTGATTGCGCCTATAATCTTTGGCCACCAAAAGTCGCCCTTCAAAAATTATTATCTATATGGTCTAAGTTCACAAGGACTTAGGTAAAATGGATTCCCATGAGTTGTATATATATTGACTAATGATTGTGCCAAAATATGAGGACCTATTTCTACCTAAAATAGATTCGATCACTGATGATATCTTTCCATATGGGCAATAATTTTTGAAGGGTGAATTTTGGGGACAATGATTATAGGGGCAATCACAGCCAAATGGATGTCCAGTTTTACTAGTAAACTTTCATCCTTCAAAAATTATTGCCCATATGTATCTATTTCTTTGTGAATAAACCTCAAACAAGGATTGTGCTGTGGTCAGAAAAATAATATATTGTCTAAAATATCATTGAATGATTCAGCAAAAAAAATGTTCGCGCCCGGGATCGAACCAGGGACCTTTCGCGTGTAAGGCGAACGTGATAACCACTACACTACGCGAACATTATAAATTTCTTTCTAGAACATTACTAATAAAAGATCTTTCTTTTACATTTATTCATTGATTATCATAGCCTTTCATAATTAAGATTGTACTAGGTATCAAGTATATATATATCTTACAAACCTGTCCTATATTTATTCCAAAAATTACAGTTGTATTTATACTATGAATAGAAATCAAACATATGGGTAATAATTTTTGAAGGGTGAAAGTTTACTAGTAAAACTGGACATCCATTAGGCTGGGATTGCCTCTATAATCACCGGTCACCAAAATTCACCCTTCAAAGATTATGATCCATATTATATATCACGTTTGAAAGTATGATAGACATCATAACTCGTTCAACTTTAGTTAGATTCCAACATCCTGTATTTAGTAGTTCCTGATGGTGCTTTATTGGTTATTACATATACTAGTTATTATTTGTTAGTAGACCATTCTAACTGTTTAGCAATGAAATTGTAACTACTCTTCAATCTCCCAATCGTAATGATAAACTAGCTTTTTACGCTACTATTTTTCTAACTCATTTACATGTGAACACTTGAGGTACACAGATTATTGTCCAAAAGCTCGATTTAATTAGGTATTACATCGTAAAACATACAAATGCGAGTCCTTGGCTTATTATGTGATCAATTTTGGCAAGTAGTTTCCTAAGAAGTGGACTTGTATTGTGATGGAAGTGGGTAGTAATAATTGAACACTTTTATTTTAAAACCTGGCTACAATACCTGTGTTTCTTTGTATTTTTTATATTATTTAGTATACATACATATTAGTAGTCCTTGTGCATCAGGTCATTTTCTAGTTGAAAACAGATTACCTGACCACAACATTATGCCAGATGCAAAAAAGAAAATAGAAACAGCAACAGCGACAGCAAGTTCGAAAAATGTAGAAAGCCCACAAGTATCTCCAAAGGCCATTAGAGATGAGTCTTTAATTCAGGCTACCGATGGGTCTAAGAATGCCAGAGAAGTGAATAGCTCTTTAAAGACAGATTCGACGCCAGCAACGAATGACACTAGTATAAGGACAAGTTCCTATTTGCTCTTGCGACTTTTTACCTCGGAGTTCTTTAATCCTTGGCTAGCAGTGTCATACTTATTCCGGTACCCCTATTCACCAGGAATTCAGCACTATCTTTGCAATGAGCTACGCAAATTTCCATTGAGCGAAATCGAGTTCTTTCTTCCTCAGCTAGTCCATTTACTGCTATCGAGACCAAACGAGTCAGTTGCGCTGGAATCGTTACTATTGGATGTCAGTACTCGGTCATCACATATAGCAATTCTGTTTTACTGGCATCTTAATACATATTTCCATGATATGAATGCCAATCCCAGAACCGCATCATTTAAACTATGCCAGCGCATCATGAACCAGCTTCAGCTGTTACTATTTGTTGATGAAGCGCCAGACTTGTTGTGCGATGCGCCAACACCAGCCAGAAATGCATTTATTAGAATGGCACAATCTACAAAATCCAAGCTAAGTTCACTTTTGTCGACCAAATTGGATTGGCGAAAGGCCGTCTCGTTCCAGTTGGCACCAACAGTAAGAGAGAACACGGTCGCAGCCATGGTCGGAATTGGTGCAATGATGGCAGGCGTGGGTTCCCCTGCGCTCAGCCAGAATGCCGGTGCATTGGCTATCGCCCAGGGAAGACGCGCAAAGATAGTGGAAACTGCTGGCGCAGATCCAGACATTTGTATTCAAGGCCATCCAAAAAGACCGTATCGAAAAAATTTAGACGGGAATCGGACAATAGCAGATGTAAAGGCACAAAATAGCCCCGGCTTAGACACTCCAGCAAGGGAATCTACAGACACCGACATTGCTGATCAAGGCGCAGGTGGTGACGACGGGGACCTGAGGTCCAGGAGCAAGCCCCCTAGCATTCGCTCTAAAACTGTAATTGGCGATAGGCTAGCACCACATCCCAACTTTGAATCCGATAGTGAGGTATCTTTGAGGCATTCCCAACTTTCCGTTGGCGAAGGCGGAAATGGATCGTCGCGGCCTCGCGAGTACTGGGATAAAACAACAAAGAACATACAGATGAAGAGTAGAAACATATCCAGAAAACTTTCAAGGACAATTGACGGGACCAAAAGCCTGTTTTCATCCCCATCTCCTTCATATATATCCGAGGCTGATCTTTGTAAAGAGTACAAAAATCTGTATATACCCGAGGTTTGCAACTATTTGGCTGACCAGAAGAAATGGCTAGCATACCGAAGCAGCTATTTTCAGAACGAGATAAAATTCATGACCGAGCTCATGGATATTTCTCGACGTGTGTGTCTGGTACCTCAGCCAAGCAGACAAAACTCACTAAAAGCTGAACTTGCATTTTTCAACCACAGTCTCAAGGACGACATGTGCATACCCTTGTGGTGTTCTAACGACAATAATTCAATGAAGCACCAGCGAATTGTTCGGATTCCTTTGGACGACGTTGTCGTGCTCAATTCGGCCGAACGCGCTCCATATTTGCTGATGCTTGAAGTCATAGAGGCTGATCCAAATGAAGAGTACCGGCCTGAAGTTCCCAAAAGCCCTTCTTCCAAACAAGGTGTCAACGAAAGACCCAAGAGCTTGGACACTTCATACATAGAGCACAATAGTAATATTGACACCGGAGATGCAACAAAAGAATATGGTACTCAAGGAACCAGAAAAACCTCGAGGCCAAAAATACAGCCCCTTAGTCAAGTATTTAATACCAACAGCGATAGCAAACAAAAGGAAAGAACTAGCACCGATGCCAAGGAAAACAATGAACCTACCAAAGATAATAACCCCATGAGCGAGCCAAGAAAGTCACAGGAACCTGAGAAAGAACACGATCCCGAGCTGGATACTCTGCTTGAAGTGTTTGGAGATATTAATGATACGGGCGAAGATATTCTTGGTAGCAGTCCTGTTAGCCAAGACCCAGTAAACGCACCATTGCATTCTGCTCCGTCAGGAACATCTGAGTCAAACAAACCAAATTTGACAAATAGTGGCAAAGACCGTGGTGGTTATGCCTCAAGGGTCCCTCAGTCACAAATGCTGACATCCAGACCAAGTGTAGGTGGTGAATCTACACCAACGAATTCTCGATTTGGCAGCAGCCATGGGAAAGCCAAGCCAGATGTATACGCAGAATTGAAATCGGCTCCCATTGCACACTCTAGATTTGCTAACAGAGATAGTGGAATTGACAGCGATACAGACGTCGGACCAAAATCAGAGGAGGAAATTGCAGAAAGAATGAGGACAGCAGCAATGCTTTTGGCTCAGCTAGCTCGAGCCCAAAAGGGAATCAAGCAAGGCTATGCTGCATCTCTATTGTCAGTGGCTACACCAAATCCAGCCATTGCTGCAACAGCGCCTTCTACTGATACCACCAACGCTTCAACCAATGACTCACTGTCCGCACTCACATCGATGTCATTGGATAAGAAAACAAGGAGAGCCGGAAACAGTCCTGCAGAGACATTTGAAAGAATTCGAGACAAGCTTATCCAGGAAATGATAAAGCTTGAAAACCAAAGGTTCAAGCTACAGCAAGAGCGAGCCAAGAATGCTGGTAGCGGTGTTTCAATTGGCCCTGGCGTCGAACCAGGTGCTTCCCCAGCAGCGCTTGAAACTGTCGAATATAAAGACGATCCTAGTGCTAAAGTGTTGAAAGAAGATTGGGAGCAAAAGAAGGCCAGAATTCGTAAATCCTCACCATATGGGCATGATCCAAGATGGAATTTGGCGTCTGTTATTGTAAAAGAGGGGGCTGATTTGCGACAAGAGCAACTTGCATTGCAGTTATTGAAGGAGATGGGAAGAATATGGGCAATAGAAAAAGTTCCAGTCTTTGTCAGATATTTCCGGATAATGGTAACTGGTGAGCAATCAGGCCTGGTAGAGACTATAACCAATACGATATCAATCCATTCTTTGAAGAAGGATTATTATAACCGCAATCAACCTATCGTAAAGGGGACGCCGCCATACACACTTCTAGACTACTTTAAGGCCGAATACGGCGAAGATGTCGAGTCAGATAACTTCAAGAAAGCCCAGGATAATTTCATGAAGAGTTTGGTGGCGTATTCTATCGCCACTTATATTCTGCAACTGAGGGACCGACATAATGGAAATATTCTTTTGGATACTGAAGGTCACTTGATCCATATAGATTTTGGATTTATGTTATCGAATTCGCCTGGATCAGTTGGGTTTGAAGCAGCCCCATTTAAATTGCCGTTGGAGTATGTAGAATTATTGGGAGGATTCGAATCAGAAAAATGGAAAGAATTTAAGGCACTGTTCAAGCAGGCGTTTTCGGTTTTGCGTAAATATGTTGATAATTTTTGTTTATTGGTTGAGATGATGCTGAAAGATTCCAAACTTCCATGTTTGGCTAGTGGGCCGGCCGTAGTTACATCTTTGAGAGAAAGATTCCAATTGGTAATGACTGAAAAACAAATAGACGAATTTGTGGAACGATTGTTGCTAAGCAGTTGTGATAACATAACTACTAGAATGTATGATTTGTTCCAGTATTATTCTAATGGCATTTTATAGGTTTATTTTCGCATCTATGCATGGTTTGTATGTAGGTGTGTGTGTGTGTGTGTACGTCTGTGCATAACTTGTGCATTTATTTTATAATGTTTTATTTTAAAACACCTTTTTTGGCAATAAATTTCATTTAATTTCAACTGTGGGTATGGGTAGTTATTTTTGAAGGGTGACTGTTTGCTAGTGAATGGTCGCCCTTCAAAAACTCCAAATAATATTTAGAACTTTGTAAAATTTATTTATAAACACACGTATATATTAATAACTACTTTATGTATTTACTAAAACTTAGTCAGATTCTTCCCCATTGCTACTTTCGTTTTCCTGATCATCTTCAGAACTTTCTGCATCGCTTTCTTCCAATCCACTTTGATTATCATCATTACCTTCTTCAGAGCCTTCACTACTATCATTTTCTTTCTCA